TGACAACTGAGTTAATTTGGTTGTGAGTCAGAAGTACAAAAATACAGTGCAGAACACGTGGTGAAGTCTTTCTTAAGTGGAGAAAAGCCTCCATGATACTCTTCAAAACCAGCGCTCTGAAATAGTGGCTGTGTCAGCTTGAATTGCTCATCTGGGAGGGCTCCTGGGAGTCAGTCTGGGGTAAAAACTGGCAGTTCTGTTTTGATACAAATTCTAGCTCCATGACAGGAGCCAGGCAGGTGTCAGGCTGCTGCCTGTTCACTGATAAAGAGCATATATCTGTATTTGTCTACCTATATATATATTCTATAGAGGTCTTGGGCGTTCTGAGAGTCACGGGTCTTGCCTTCTGCTGGCTCTTTGTGCTCATCCCAGCTCAGCAGATCCACACCAGAAGTCTCCTTTCCTGCCCTTGCAGGTGAACTGCTGCATGCTCCTCGTGTTATCATCTTTGTAGCTGTACAGCCTACCTGATGTAGCTGTGGCTGCTCAGGAGTAGCTTTGTAGAAACTTCATTTTGCTTGTCTGCTAAAATTATCTAGACTGGGAAAGCTGCCCCTTGGTGCCCAGGCCGCCTCCTTGGGTGGATTGATTTTGTTCCAGGTAGAAGCTTTTTGTTCCGTTTGGATTTCCTGCCGCTCGCTCTTTAGCTTTAAACCCCAGCCTGTCACGTTGCCTGGGAGGATTTTGGTTTGCAGAGTTGAGCTCCTGGAATCCCGGGTGTCCCCTTGGTGTCCCTGGTGCTGCTGCTGCGTGGGTGGGTGCTGTGCCATCCTTTGGAGCTGTTCTGAGGGGTTTGCTCCAGCAGCCAAGAGCGACGCCTGTTTGCTACCCAATTGGTTTCACAGGGACAGTTTGCTGAATTAAAGCTTCTAATTACAGCATTTTTCCCAAATGGAGCATTTAAAGCGTCCTGTAGCTTTGCTGCATCGATGAAGACATCAAGTCTTGCTGCCAGGGAAACTTCACGTGCCTTTGCTTTGTATTCCCTGCTCTGAACCTGTAAAAAATAACAATTGCTGAGGAATTCTTGAGGAGTTGCTGTGCAGTACCCTCCTCTGGAGTGAGGTGTGGGGGTTTAGGAAGTTCCTAAATCCACAGCGATACGTTTGGACCATTTTACTTGCTCTTGATTGTTCCTCCTAGGTTGTTTTTGACCAAGTTTTTTGGCTGATTCAGTGATGCCAGCGTGGGAAGGCAGTTTGGGGATTCAGGACTAGTCTGCTTGACTTGCTAATGATCCAAACTCTCTCTCTGAACTCCTCTTGCAGGCTGCCACTCAGATTTATCATTGTCTATAATTAGCAGCTCTGTATGGGAGAATGTAATCACCTTGAACAGATAAGTGTTTTCAAGGAGATTAGAGAAGATCTTCAGGTGAGTATTAATTCATCGAAGGTTGGCGTTGGCTCATGTGACCATGGATGCTCCAAGGGTGTCGTGTTTTCCCAGCAGCTTCTTGACCTTTCTAAGAGCTCTGGGATGTGTTGGCTCCTCTGTGGGATGGGCTGGAGCTGGGTACCTGTGGGTTGAGTGTCTGGAGAGCCTTCAGAAGTGCTTTGTGTGGGCACGGGGCGTAATAATGAAAGCAATGACAAATAGAGAGGGGAAAACCATGTCATTGTTGGGAAGGGAAAGGTTTCTCCATCAAGCAGCATTAACTCCCCTCTCAGAGCAGTGATGGGTGCCTGGGGCACTTCAGCTGTCTTGTCTGGGTCATCCTGCAGCTCATTTCCCTGGAAAAGCTATGTTTCACAGAGCAGCATTCTTCACCAGCTCTTGTTTATCCAGCAGTTAACTCTTGGTTGGCATCATCAGGGCTTGAGCACAATCCAGAGGTTTTTTTCTGTTTCTTGTGCTGAGACTCCTCTGAAAGCTGAGGAGGGGAGTTCAGGAAGGAGCTTGAAAACCACTGCTGATGGTACAGATGTAGGGGGATTGAGGGAGCCAGGAGGGACCTCTGGGAGCCTCTGATCCAGCTGTTCCCCCATCGCTGACCCATGTCCCCAAGTGCCACATCCACACGGCTCTTCAATCCCTCCACAGGGGATAGGGACTCCAGCACTGCCCTGGGCAGCTGTGCCACCCTGACCACCCTTTCCAGGAAGAAATTTTCCTGGTAACCAACCTGAGCCTTCCCTGGCACAACTGTTCCCACTCGTTCTGTCCCTGTTCCCTGGGAGCAGAGCCTGAGCCTCCTGAGCTGCCCCCTCCTGTCAGGGAATTGTGCAGAGCCAGAAGGTCCCTGCTGAGCCCCTCCAGGTCCCTCAGCTGTTCCTCATCACACTTGTGCTCCAGTCCCTGAAATCTCCAAGGTATAAGCTTGCAGAGCCTCTCCAGGCCTCTCTTCCAGTGTTGGACCAGCCTTGGAAGGGAAAACTTTTCCTTACATTTAGTTTGTACATGGTAGAATGAGGCAGCATGTTCTCTTGTAATGATTTTTGTGACATCCTGTCCCTCTGCAGACAGGTCCTGGAGTGTTTGTCTCCCTTTGGGTGCTGGAGTGTGCAGGTTTCCAGGGCAGCTCTGCAGCTCCTGGTGACTTGGAGCTACTTGTTTTTAAACAGTGATGAATAATTGGTGTTCCCAGTCAGCTTGTTTTCCCATGGCACTCTCTGGATCCATATGGTGCTTTGCTGTTGCTCCTTGTTATTTGCCCATTCTGGAGGCAGCTCTCCGCTGTGCTTTGTCCCTGGGGACACGGTGCTGCCACTGCTCCGTGGGGACGCTGCATGTCCACATGACACTTGGGAGGTGCTGTGGGGTGGGGGGAACGATGCTCTTTGGGCTGCTGGTTCCAGCCTGGATTGCTCTGCTCCCAGTTTAGTGCTGTGGAGGAGGCTGGGCTCACTTGAGTCCAAACATAAACTGCTGCTGACTCTGCAGGAGGGCGTGAGGCACAGATCTTATCCTTAAGGATGTTCCCATCATGGCTTGGTTATAAGTGCTGGGTGAGGGGATTTGCAGCTGTTGCCTGGTTCTGTTTGCTGGTTGCAAACTGTGACAAGAGCCATGAACCATCCTTCTGCTTTATTTCTATCCATATCATCTTCATTTGCCTAGATGGGATTGATATCATCCCTCATCCCATCCCTGCAAGTGTTCCAGGCCAAGCTGGACAGTGCTTGGAGCAGCCTCATCTTGTGAAAGGTCCCTGTCTGTGGCAGAGGAGTGGAACCTTTAAGATCCCTTCCCACCCATACCATTTCATGACTCCATACTGGCCAAATACTTAACGTGATGTAATTGTAGAAGAAGTAACTGGTTTGTCTTGTGCAGAACTAAACTTGGAGGGGGTGGAGCAGTCTGGATTTGTTTGGAAGCACAGCAGCCTGTGCTGCTGTCTCCATGTTGGTCCCATGGAGATCCCTCAGGTAGCTCACATGGCAGTTTTTTCTCCTGGAGCTGTTTGCAGGTATGGAGGGTGTTTGTGGGCTGGGTCCTTACCTGAGTGAGGTGCCTGTTACCCCTTTCTGGTGTCTCCTGGTCCAGCTTCCATTGCTGGAGCACACACCGGTGCAGTTCTGCTTTGCTGTCCCAGGCAAGGGCGGGGGGTCACTGTCCAGCCCTGCATTTCTCCTGCATGGTGCTGGAGCTCGCTCAGCTCTGCTGGAGTGGGACAGCAGGGGCTGTGCTGACCTTTAGGAGCAGAGGTTGGTGTGGACTGGCTCCTGCTCCAGGACATCCATGGCTGTGTTCACCCCTGGAAAACCCTTGCCAAGCCCTTGGTCCGTCTGCTATCATGTTGCTCCAGAAACAAGGCGGCTGTCCTTTGCCTGCAGAGGTGACTGGCATCACCTGCCTCTTCCTGCAGCTCCCCTGCCTGTCTTTTTCCAGGGAGATACGTATTCAGCTCTGACTTGGCTTGCTCCAATTACAGGTTTAAGTTGGTGCTTGTATGGCCTGTCATCCTCTGTACCCACAGTGAGTCACTGGGAAAGGAACTGATCCTTCTTGTCAGGAGTATTTGAAGAACCTGCTGTGCTTTTCCATGCAGTATCCCTTGTATCCTGCCTCATTTTCCCCTGAAAAGGAGTTTCCAATCAGTGCAATATGCTCTGAACTCACCTCTGAACGATGATGACATTCACTATCTGTAGGTTGAGTTATCCTGCAGCAGGTCAGACTACTGAGCTTCTCTGTAGTTTGTGCTTGTGTATCAGCTGTTGTAGCGGGGTAACTCAGCGTGGTAATTTTAGGTGCCTGAAGTGTTATCAGTGATATCAGAGCCCGCTGCTCGCTGTAGGTCTGTTCAGCTGATGGCCAATAGCTCAGGTTGTCACCTTGAAATGTGAGTTGTCCCAGCCTTCTGTCAGGAGGGCAGGCAGCATCCTGGAGATTTATTCCTAAATAAGATAGCTCAGGTTTGGAAGCACTATCTGGAGGTGTTAAATATCCCTTCAGGTCCTCATTATACTGTTCAATTATTGTAGCAGTTCCTACAGCACTGTGGCAGGGATCTTTCTACACTTTGCATCAGCCTTTGTTTGGTTTCGATCAAAATGCTTGTTTAATAATTAATGACATAATATTCCCATGGCTGCGGGCTGGGCAGGCAGAGCTGAAGCTGGAGGAAAACAGAGCTGGATGTGTGTGTGGTGCTGGGGCAGTGCTGCTGACTCACAGCCGTGTGTGCAGGGCCGGTGCTGAGCCTCGGGCTGCGAACGGATCAACGCTGGAATGAAACACGCAGATGGGAAGCGTGGGACTGCGTGTCAGTGGAGCTCTGCCATCAACGTGGAACAAATGGAGCAAATCTCCTCTTTGGTCCCCTTCCAGGCACTTGGGATTTGTTTCCCCCTCTGCAAGCCAGGGCTCCTGGCAGTGCTGTTTTGTACCTGGCCTGTGCTGACTGCAGGTGATGCTGCTTCTCGCTGTGAGCATCGCTGTGGGGCTGGAGCTGCTCACAGGTCACATTGTGACACGGCCACTGATGGAGCCGCTGCTGTGCCAGCACTGTTGACCGTGGCCAAACCCATTGTCACCTCTGTTTTTCCTGCCCTTCTTTTCACACCAAGCTGTGTTAGTAACCACTTTCCTGGCTTTTAAAAAATTTTTATCTAACTCTTCAAGGCTATTTCTGCTTTGAATCACGACCGGATAGATGTATGTCCCTGCAGTGACACAGGGGGAGGTGCTTCACTTCCTAAAAATAGTCTTAATTCTCCAAATCTTTCTGGATGAGAGCACTGTCTGGGCACACGTGGCTGTTTAAAGCAGCTTCTGCAATGCATGTGGGGGTAAATATGGTGAAGTGGGAGTCAGTGCCTTTCTCCTTCTTTAACACAAAACAGTGATTCTTAATCTGTTATTAATAGCTAGAGCAGGTTTCTTCTAGGAACTTTATAAGAAACAGAGCAGGAAAATGTTGTCCTTGGGGGCCTGCTGGTTGTGTATTGCTGTTGTGAGTAAGATCATCTCACTGCAGGCTGGTTGGTTGGCACAGACACCTAAAAACTGTGGCTGGGTGGGCTCTCAAAGAACAGTGAACTCTCCTTCCCGTGGCACAGCCACAGATGTGACAGCAGGGCTGGGTAGCCTGGATGGGAGCAAAGCTCCTTTGGTGAGTCACTTGGCCAGGTGCTGTTCAGGTCCATGGCTTAGTTTCCTCAGGGATGCTCCCAGAGATGTGGGGCTGTGTGTGCTGTGTTCCAGCCGCGCCGTGTTGCTGTTCCCAGCTGACTTGGTGCTTTGTGCCTGTCACTCACCCCAGCACAGAATTAGAGTATTTGTCACAGCAGCAAATATCCATGGCAACTAATTCCCCAGCCCTGGAAATCTTCACGATTTTTGAAGTTTCTCTTTTCCTGTGAAATGCACAGGGGTGGTTCCACAAACTTTTTTTTTCAGGTCTTCTGCAACTGTCAGGAGTGGTGGCTCTTCTTGGAAGCGCTTGAAAAATACACCGGTCCCAGTTTGGAAGATGGGGTGAGTTTGGGTGGATTTGGCTGGAGCATGCACATGGGTGACTGGGATGTGCTCATGGCAGTGGGACACAGGCATGCCCCTCCTCTCCAGGACGATGCAGGGGTGGAGACCACACAATTAAAGAAGCAGATTTTATCTTTAAGATGTGGAGATGCTGCACAGCAGGTGGGGGTGGCAGCTGTGCCCACAGCTCATGAAGGAGTCAATGAAGTTGTCAGGGGAGATTTAGGTTGGATTTTAGGAAAAGGTTCTTCCCCCAGAGGTGCTGGCACTGCCCAGGCTCCCCAGGGAATGGGCACTGCCCCGAGGCTGCCAGAGCTCCAGGAGCGTTTGGACAGCGCTGCCAGGGATGCCCAGGGCGGGGTAGTTGGGGGGTCTGGGCAGAGCCTGGAGCTGCACTGGATGATCCTTGTGGGTCCCTTCCAGCTCAGGAGATTCCATGATTCTGTGTAAAGTTTCAGCCTTTGGTTTGAAGCCCTTTATGGAGAACTCCATCCGGGAGCGCTCAGGTGGTGTCTGGTGTCAGGGCTCTATTCTCCAGCAGACCCATCCTTTGTTCTTGGAAGACTGAAACCTTCCATCTTTAATGTTTTCGAGCACGCACGTTCCTGTGACTGATGCTGTTTATTTGCTGTTTATTATTCCCAAGTTGCCGCTGCAGTGTTTCCCAGCAGGGCTTGTGGAGCACAAAGCACTGCAGGTTTATAGTGCGTGGTCAGGTGGAACTACTCCATGGCTTTATTTTATCCCAGCAGAGTTTCCCATTCCTTGTCAGCTGGGGCTCTGTGGTCTGTGCTGGGAAGAGTCTGCTTGAGGTTCCTGGCTTTGCATCTCTGCTGGAATGGAACTTTTATAAGCAGGAGGAAGAGAGTGCTCAAACTAAAAGTTACTTTGTGATGGTACAAAGGTGACAATAATCTTAATACTGCATAATTTACATGGCCACACATGGCACATTATCAGCTCCCATTTGGAATTGTACAGAAGATGCAGGACTCACTCCCTTTGGGAGCTGGGCTGGTGCTGGTGGTGCTCTAGTTTGCTGTATCCTCTCAGGCATTGATTAGGAGTACATCTAATTTGATTTGTTTTTGGTAGCTGTGATCACAGTTCATTAGTTGCAGCATTTGCTGTGTAATGTGGTTATTAACGGGTGAGTGCGCTCACAGCCAGGCTGTGGGTGATGCCAAGTGGAGCACAGAGGTCACAGGTCTGGATTTCAGAGGGACTGTGACAGGCTGGAGCAACAGGGTGGTGGGAACCCTGTGGTGTTCAGCAGAGGCAAGCACCAGCGCTGCCCTGGGGTTGCTGCTGGAATCAGCTTTGCAGAGCCTTGTCTTGGGGACAAGAAGGTGACCAGGAGTGACCAGAAGTCAGTGGTGGCTTTGGCTGTGTTAACAGAAGTGTTGAGGGAAGGGACTGTCCCCTCTGCTCAGCAGAGGAGTGCCCTGGGGTGCCCTGTCTGGGCCATCAGTCTGGTTTGGGACCTGCTAGGATGAGGCTGGAGCAGAGGAGACAGGGACACCCACAGCTCCATGGTGGAGGATGTGAGACAGAGGACAGAGCCTGGCTCTGCTTGTGGCAGGGTGAGGCACAGGGCTGGGAGAACATGTGGGAAATCCTGCATGGACACATGGAAGCATGTTGACTTGGGAATGAGGACTGGATACTGGGATAGGGATCTGGGGAAGTGCAGGGAATTCATGGCTATTCCAGCTGGGCATAGGCAAGGTCCTGAGCAGCCTTGTCTGGATGCAGATGCTCAGGGCAGGAGACTGGACCTGAGGCCTCCTGAAGTACCTTCCATACACATTTCATGGACCATTCTATGATTATTTCTGATGCTTTTTGTGAGTTTGCCTTCAGCTCTCTGGATGCTGATGGGGATGAGGTAAAGCCATGCCCTGTTATGGCTTGTCCTGTCAGTGCCAGGGGAGCCTTGCTGATTTCTGTGTCTGAACCCTTCAGGCTGTTACACAGACCATGTTTCAGACCTTGTGAAACAGCCCCACAGGTCTGTTCACTCCACTTCCATGGCACTCTGAATTGAGGGAGGAGCTGCCTGACACTGGGACAGCCTGAGGACTGGCAAGCCAAATTTATGGGATTAAGCTGTGCTTTACTCCTCTATCAGGCTTTTATTTGTTAAAGCTTATTATAAGTACAGTGTTTTGCTGGAACACTTGGGGAAGCAAAGACCCAGTGGTGTTTCTGATCCTTTAAGGAGTGGGATTGGCTTAGGAGCTGATGGACAGCAATTTTCCTATTTTCTTGCCTCTGCAGTTTCTGGGATGTCCCCTCTGGGTGCTGCCCTGGAACTGTTTTCCCAGGAACCTACATTGTTTTGTGGGTAAACACTGAGTATGTGCTGGGTGAAGCATCTGCCTCTCCCTCTCCCTCTCCGTCCCTTTCCTTTTCACAAGGAAAAAAGTAAAAATTTCTGCTTCAGAGTGGAAAAACCTATGGATGCAAGCTCCTTGGAAATTTAGTTTTGAATTTGAAACTTGACTTGTAAAGGTCTGGAAATTTGTGCTTTGTTGCTCTGTAACAAGCCCATTTTCCCCTCCTTACAGTTGCAGACATCCAGCCTGGAATTGCCACTTGTAAGTACCTTGAGAGGCTGCAGCTCTGTATCCCAGCACAGATAAGGTCTGTAATTACTGGACTGGATTGAGTTCTGCTGCACAGCTGCAGCCCTAAGGTGCCATTGCAGTGCAGGAATGAAACCTCTGGCTGCCTGTGGCTGTTATTCCCTGTTTTTGGAATGTTGTAGATTAATTTAAGCACAAAGCACATGCCGTGAGAACAGGATTGATCCCATCAGGATTTGTAAAATTGATTTCCAAGTGCACAATACCTGAACAGGCTTAATGGTTGTGAAAGTCACATTCTGCAGGCAGTGGAGACCGAGAGCTTTACGGAGGAATCCCTGTGGATGCTGCAGGGAGGCAGTGATGAATTTGTAGGAAGCAGTGGGATCGTGGCAAGGAGCTTCTCTCCGTCACGAGGCTGCGGTGCAAGGCCTGGGGTGTCAGGCTGGGGCGTGGGGGAAATCTTTAATCATAGAATCATGGAATGGCCTGGGTGGGAAGGGGCCTTTTAAAATCCATCCAGTCCCACCCCCTGCTATGGCAGGGACACCTCCCACTGTCCCAGGCTGCTCCAAGCCCCAATGTCCAGCCTAGCCTTGGGCACTGCCAGGGATCCAGGGGCAGCCCCAGCTGCTCTGGGCACCCTGTGCCAGGGCCTGCCCACCCTGCCAGGGAACAATTCCTGCCCAATATCCCATCCATCCCTGCCCTCTGGCAGTGGGAAACCATTCCCTGTGTCCTGTCCCTCCATCCCTTGTCCCCAGTCCCTCTCCAGCTCTCCTGGAGTTGCTTTAGGCCCTGGAAGGGGCTTTGGGGTGTCCCTGGAACCTTCTGTTCTCCAGGATGAACAATCCTAATTCTTTCAGCTTTAATGTAGTGAGGTTAGTGTTGATAATTTGGTCGAGGGTGTTTCCATGAAGATTTACAATTTCTGTAGTTTTAGGAAGGGTGAATTTGTAAAGTAGCTAAAGCACCAATATTAAGTCAGGCATTACCCTGAAGTGAGACATCCTCATGGGTACAGAGGGAATTAGAGTTTTGTTTGACATTCAAGGCACCATCCTCCAAATATTTCTGCTTATTTTCCATTTGCCTTGTAAAGGAAATAAGTAGCGAGCCCTTTGTCCCAAGGGGCAGGTACCTAAACTCTGCTATTCGCATTAGGTGTAGCTTTAATTTCCAAGTTCAAAATATATTCTACCATGTAATAGACCATTATAGCATTAGTTGTAGTCTTAATTTACAGATTGGTTTATTTATGGAACTGCTGGTTTGATGTAAACCCAGGAGAGGTGCTTGAAATCCTTATGTGGGATTAGTGCTGTCCTGTGATGGCAGTTTGTGGGGGCACATCCTGCTGCTGCACCTTTATCCCTTAACACTACCTCATGAGAAGTGTTTGTGCCATGGCAGGTCTCTATAAAAAGAATTTGCACCCATGTGCAAGTGTTGGAGTCAGAACAGCTTAGCTTAAGTGAGCCTGGATGTGATGTGATCCTGCTCCCTCACTTGGGAAAAGGGCGTTGTGCTGCTTTTCACTGCTCTGTGCTCCTTAATATCATAGAGTCATGAAATATCCTGAGTTGGAAGGGACCCATAAGGATCATCAAAGTCCAGCTCCTGGAATATGTTCCTATGGGAGAATTCCCTTCAGTGGCCTGGCTTCTGTCCCCTCTTACACTATTTTTTAAAACCTCTGATAACATAAAAATAGATAGAAAATTGAGGGTTTAAACCCACTTTTATTCCTGCAGGAGATTAAAGAAATAAAAATGGGTAGAGAAGGTAAAAAAAACATAAGAGTTTTCAAGCAGTTTGGTGGATCCTGGGAAGAAAGGAGTAGGGTGGTGGTCACAGCTTTATTTATCTGGCTTGGGAGACCAGCTGAGTGCTGGGCTCTGTTCCTCTGCAGCTCAGCTGGCCTCTTCCTTCTCTCTTGGGACACTTTCTGTGTCCTGTCCTCCTCTGTGTGCTTTGGGGTCCTTTGGTTTCCCTTCCAGCTGCTGAACCTGTGAGACCCCCAGGACTCAGGGTCCTGCTGGAGAGAAGGGCCAGGAGCCACTCCTTGGAGTCATTCAAGGAGCATGTGGATGCAGACAGTGGCTTCTAGGCCAAGCTTGGCGTTTATCTGTTTAAAAAATTGTATAAATAGGTGCACTTCACCGCACGGGAAATTAAAACTAGAGAGCAACATTCATCTCCCTGCTGTTGACTGGAGAAGATGAAAAGTTCTGGAAAGACTCCACAGAGCTGGATTGCTTGTGGTGCTGGCTGCACTTCTGGTGTTTGTTTGTTGTCTCACACCTCACTGGGAGCGTGGATCACTGCACGGATCCTGCTGGGACATGTGGCAAATGTCTCTTTGCTTCTCCTGTTTTCCCTGTCTCCCTGCACTGGCAAAGCACCCAGCCTGTGTGTGCTGCTTCTCTGCTTCTTTCCTTGGGTGGGATTTGTCCTGAAGAGCAGCCAGAACCCTGCATTCTGTCCCTGCAGTCTGGTTTTGCAGTTGTTGGAGAGGCAGGGGAGGAAGTGTTTTGTAGAAGGGAGCACTGGATACAGCTCCTTCAGAAATTAAAGATGCTGAGGGCTAAAAATAAACCATTCCCAGCCCTGTCCCTGCAGGAGAAGTTCCTGTTCCTGACAGGAACTGCTGGACACGAGCTCTTGGGGATGGAGGCTTTTAATGTCCTCTATGAAACACCAGAGCCTGGGTTGCAGTGGGATTCTGGGGCCTTCTGGCACAATCCTGTTGTTTCTGAGGAGCCTGAGCAGCTGAGGGGGTTGTAGAGTTGTCTGGCCAAGCAACATGTAAAATTGGGGCTTTTCTCGTTGAAAAACAACAGCTAAAGAACTTCAAAAGAGCTGGAGAGGGAGTTCACCAAGGCCCTGGAATGATAGGACAAGGAGGAATGGCTTAAAGCTGAGCGTAGATTTAAGATTGGATATTGAAAGGAAATTGTTCCCTGGCAGGGTGGGCAGGCCCTGGCACAGGGTGCCCAGAGAAGCTGTGGCTGTCTCTGGATCCCTGGAAATGTCCAAGACCAGGTTGGACAGAGCTTGAAGCCACCTGGGACAGTGAAATGTCACCCTGACCATGGCAGGGGGTGGAACTGGATGAGCTTTAAGGTCCTTTCCAACCCATTCCATGATTCGTGGATTGCTTTTTTGCCTTTGTGTGTACAGCAGGCTGCTTTGGAACCCCTTGGCTTCCCAGAGTGGCTCTGGAATGGGAGGCAGTGACTCTGGATATTCTGGTGCTGCTTTTGTTAATGTGAACCTTTCCTGCATGGAGCAAAGGAGTGGGATGGCAGCTGGGTGTTCTGGGAGGTGTGAAGGTGTCCTGTGCAGGGACATGATGGCCAGGCTTGGCTGCAGCCAGGGGAGCACGAAGGGCAGGACTCAGATTGTGCTGAAACAACTGCAATGTTTCTGCATTAAAACCTCTGAGCATTTATTGCACCACACAAGTTGTCTTGCAACACAATGCACTGAAAGTCTGGTCTGAGCACTTGGGAAATTGGCTGAAAACTGCAATTCATCCTTTCTATGTGTGAGAGCCCTCCCTTGTGAAGGTCAATGACTTTGCCTTCCCTCTTGGCTGTTCCTGGTAACCCACAGTCAATATCTGTAGGGTTTTTGCAGAAGATGTGCAGCCCTGAACACTGATCCCAGAGCATATCTTGGATTACAGATTCATGGAATGGTTTGGATTGGAAGGGAATTGAAATAGCATCCAGTCCCACCCCTGCCATGGGCAGCGACACCTCCCACTGTCCCAGGTTGCTCCAAGCCCCAGTGTCCAGCCTGGCCTTGGGCACTGCCAGGGATCCAGGGACAGTCACAGCTGCTCTGGGCACCCTGTGCCAGGGCCTGCCCACCCTGCCAGGGAACAATTCCTGCCCAATATCCCATCCATCCCTGCCCTCTGGCAGTGGAAGCCATTGCCCTTGGTGCTGGCCTTGGGACTCAATGCAGAAGGATGTTGGGTGTCACAGTGAAGCAGCTGGGATGTGCCAGGACTGTCCCTGAGTTACTGGCCAGGGTCACTCGGGCTCCTGCAGGATTTGATCCAAAAGTACCCTCAGCCCCAGTCATGGCCCAGTAAGTGGTTAGCTCTTGATTTCTGTTTTATATAAAACTCTTGGCATCTGCAGCATCTGGAATATCAGCTGCCAACATACTTTATTGGTGGTGTTGTAAGGGATGGGAAAGGTCTTGCACTGTGCCACACTGCCCCTTGCATTCCCACTGCTGACATGGTTTGCTGTGCTGCTTGCATTTCCCTCTGTTTCCTCAGTTCTTATGGGAAACCTGCTCTTCCCAGGATTGCTGACCTCCACACTCCTCAGGAGTGTGTCCTGCAAGGATCAGCTGATCGTTTCCTGGCTAGTGGAGGTCGTAGAGGCACCTTGTATGCAGTACTCAAGTTCATGATCCCTCCTTCTGCTCTCAAATAGTGATTTCCTGCCCCCTGGAATCTGTTCTGGAAGCAGGCAGCTGCCTCCACTGGCCACTGCTCCCAGAAATAGGATATGCTGACTGTCAAGCTGAGCATGGATTTGTCACAGAATAAAGTTCTGTGTGTCACAGGAGGCTGCAGAAGTTGTTGCTGTTGGCTGATATGGGGTGTTTGCCTTGAGCAGAGGCAGCTGCAAGTCCTGTTCAGGGAGAAGATGGAGCTGAAGGAACCTCTCTCCATGTCTGCGCTGGACACACACCTGAAACCTGCCTCCACATAAACATGTAGGAAAGTGGTTCTTGAACTGAGGATTTCATAGTCAAGGGCTGAGAGGCAACAGTTCAGCTTTTAAATATGAAGTTTTATCTTTCATCTCATGCCTTAAAATAGAGGAAAATGTATATTTATGCAACCATGTGGGCTTTGCATCCGGATATCTAAGGAATATTTCATCCAGAAGGAGATTCTGCATCTAGATATCTATCCCTAAGAAACACCTCATCCACACAGAGATCCTGGGCTATAATTGAGCATTGTTTGAAAGCTGGCAAGA